AAATAAAATAATAAATAAATAAAATAATAAATAAATAAAATAATAAATAAATAAAATATAAATATATATATATATATATATATACCAGAGAGAAGGAGGAGTTACACTAGTCGAGTCTTAAAAAGATTAATGCATGAATGACTTTTTCCGGTAATGAATGTTCTGCTGTGTGTTTGTGTTCTCTTCTGTCACAGTTCTCCAGGAAAACCGGGACGATGTGACGGCCCTGAACTGTAAAATAGTTTGCCTTGTTCAGACAGGCAGCTTCAAAGAGGCGCTGAACGTCATGAACATGCATTCAAAAACGCTCAGCAGGTAATCGACTACATGTGTGCTTATTTATACATTATATGTGTGGAGTGGTAAATGTGCATTCTATTAGGAACAAATATCTGATTAACCAGACATGAAAAGGATTTGTTTGATAATCGATTATTTCATTTATTTTAATCAATTTAACGTGATAAAGATTCTTTGGTTCCAGCTTCTCTATTGTTAGGATTTCCACACTGTTTCAGGTGATTGTAAATGTATTATATTTGTGTTTTTGACTGTTGGACGGACAAAAAAGATTTGAAATTTTGACCGTTATAAACTCAATGTTTAATCTGTTATTCAGCTTTCTTTGTAGAGCACATTCTTGCACAAAAAGTGCTTTACAGAGTAAATAAAACAGTAGGAAATAAGTAGTCAATACATGCAGATAGCATGATTACACACAAACATACAGAAATGGCTTGAATTTGACTCTGAAAACAACTTTGTATTTGCAAACCTCCGATCAGCAGAAAGGCTGTTCAATACTTGAGGCGCATAAGCGCTGAAGCTCTATCTGATATTATTATATTAAAGAAATGATCAACACTTTAATTGAAAATAATCGGTAGTTGCATCCTCGTTAAATGTAAAACCACACTTAACAAAACATTAAAAAATATATAACTGAAATCTAAATTTCGCTATGCTTGGTTCATGCTTTACACATAAGTTAGTAAGTTACTTGCTTACATGACTTGCAGTTGTAATAATGTTTATTTCTCTCTCTCAGTGACGTGGCGTTTGAGAAGGCGTACTGCGAGTACCGGCTGAACAGAGTGGAAAGTGCCCTGAAGACCATCGAGGCTGCTCCGGAGCAAACAGACAAGCTGAAGGAGCTCTACGGTCAAGTGGTAAGGCTGTTTAGACATTTAAAAAATGGTGGTATTATGTGATGCTCTCGATTTGTAGACTGTAGACTTCTGAGGGGAAAGAAAACTGTTTACCTGCCCACCCTCTCGTTTGTGTGGAGCATCTTGTAAAAGCTCACAATTTGTCCATAAGCTGTTTGATTTGACTGATCTGCATCAAATCGAACCTTTTTATTACTAAAGCTTTTGTGTTTGATGTAAAGGCTCCTGCTGACTGGAAGTGTCTCTTTCCATTGTCCAGTTGTACAGACTGGAGCGCTACGATGACTGCAAGTCGGTCTACACAGATCTGATCAGGAACTCCCAGGATGAGTACGAGGAGGAGAGGAAGACCAACCTCGCTGCTGTGGTGGCTTCTATGAGTCAGTGGGAGGAAGCTCCGTTGGTAAGCTTCTCTTCAAAATCAACATTTTGGGCTTTTGGACGGTCTTGAAACTGATTTCGAAAGTGTTGACACACCAAGGAAGTGGAACGGTTTCTTTCACTTGAATGCAGAGCATAACAAACGACTCGGAAGCTCATATTCAGCTTCTTCTTCAAATATTTTACTTGTATGAATACCAGAGAAGAAGAAGCTCAGACAGTCTAACTGGATGTGTCACCAGGCAACTTGTTGTATTATATGGTTTTCAACATGTTATATTTTCTTCTGCAGGAAGATCTAGGTCTTCCAGAGTCCACGTATGAGCTGTGCTACAATGCTGCCTGCGCTCTGATTGGCCAGGGACAGCTGACGGAGTCCCTCAATAAACTACGACAAGCAGAGGGTCAGTCCCACTCTGTTCTACCGGCTTGCTATTTCATCCATTCTTTCATTTGACTTTAACAGTTTGTTTTTCTTTGACAGAGCTTTGCAGAGTCTCACTGGCAGATGATTCTGTGAGTGTATGCTTTATTTTGGCTCCTAAAACATTTAAGCACCATAAATATAATGGGAATTATTAAGTTGTTGGTGTTTTTAGTACAACCATGTCCATGCTTGATGTCTTAATTCACCCAGAATGAACATTGCTGCTTTGTCCCTCTCAGGATGTGACCGAGGAGGACATCGAGTCGGAGCTGGCCGTCATCCATTCTCAGATGGCGTACGTCATGCAGTTACAAGGTCGGACGGACGAGGCTCTGCAGCTCTACAACCAGGTCATCAAGCTCAAGTGAGTTCAATACGTTTAATGAGATAAAGAATGTGGCACAGGTTGAAATAATGACGTATTTTCGTTTTAATTTGCGATAGTACTTTATGCTCTATTTGTGCCAGAAACTTGTACTTATTTTTAGTAGTATGTCTCAACAATACAGATGTCAAATAGATATTCCATAAAATACAATATACTTCGGCTTGGACTCAAATGCTGCACACGTGATATGACACACAACATATCGTCTTATTGTTATTTGCAGGCCGTCAGATGTTGGGCTGCTTGCTGTGACTGCCAACAATATCATTACAATAAACAAGGTGTGTGTGTGTGCGTGTGCGTGCGTGTGTGTGCGAGACGATCTTACCAATGGAAATATTTCATCATAAAAGTATCATTGTGACCTCGGAGTTAACCTCAGACAACTCACTGCCAGCTGACCGCCTCGTCCAGAATACTGAACTCAGTTATCCTCTATCCACAGGACCAAAACGTGTTTGACTCAAAGAAAAAGGTGAAGCTGACGAACGCTGAAGGCGTTGAATACAAGCTGGCAAGGAAGCAGCTGCAGGCCATCGACTTCAACAAAGCCCTCCTGGCCATGTACACCAACCAGGTAGCTAAACGGCCGCTGTGCTTCAGAGGAACAGGAGAGCAGTCGTGGATGATTTTCCACATTTTTAGATTTCGTTACTGATCAGGGTTTTGTTGGCGCGTTGCTGTTTGCAGGCGGACCAGTGCAGGAAACTGTCGTCCAGTCTTCAGTCTCAGAACCCGGGTCACCCTCGGCCGGTCCTCATCCAGGTGGCTCAGCTGTGCAGAGAGAAGCAGCACGGCCCAGCCATCGAGCTGCTGCAGGTAGGAACTGAACAACACTGGATGTCTTCAGTGTGTTTTCTTAAGATCGTGCTTTTACTGACCGTTTTGTTTTCCAGCAATTCTCAGACCAACATCCAGAGAGTGCATCTGGCATCAAACTGACAATGGCTCAACTCTATTTAATACAAGGTGATGGCGTGTTTCTACAGTGATTATGGTTTGATGTGTTCAGACAGACTGTACTCTCAAGGACAGGACATCAGTTGAAAATGTTACAGCTTCGTTTAATGAACACATCTTATGAAACTCTGTTTTGGGTCTTCTTTCTTTTTTGGTCCTCAGGTCACGTAACAAAAGCTTGTGATGTTCTGAAGTCCATCGAAGAGTTCAAGCACAAAGCGGGGATGGTAAGTCCGTTTGGATTTATGACTATTATCGACGTTGCCTCTTTTCTGTGATGTCTGCCGTTACCTGACATCTGAACTGTGTCGTTGACTCCTCAGATTTCAGCTCTGGTAACGATGTACTCCCACGAAGAAGACATCGACGGCGCCATCGATATTTTCAAACAAGCTATTGAGCACTACCAGTCTGAACAGGTTCGTGTCCCGTGTTTAGTTTTCTGTTCATATAACACGTTACTGCTCTTTCTGCGAGTCTTCTTGTGACCCGAGTAGCTAACTTAAGACGGCAACACGTGAACTCGTTTGTGTGTAATCAGCAGCCTGTTCTCACTCCTCCACAGCCCGGGTCTGCTGCACACTTGGGGCTTGTACGAGAAGCTGCCAATTTCAAACTGAAGTACGGACGGAAAAAAGAAGCCATTAGTGATCTGGAGCAGCTGTGGAAGTGAGTTACAGCCCTGCAGAACTCTCTGAGCTTCAACATGTGTGAAGTGTTAGAGGGTGTTTCACAGCTGTTGATTCTGCTTTCTGTTCTATCGAGCTTGTCGGCATGATGTCAAGTAGCTCGTGTGTTTGTCAAGTTCTTAAACGGCTTGATAAACATCGTAACAATGTGCTTATAGAGCACAGACAATTATTGAATTACAAAATGACAAAAGAAACTCATTTTGAAGGCAAAGCATTTATTCATTTTACATGTTTATGCAGCACATCTGTGAGTGTAAATGCAAGCTTAAACAGATTTTCTTCAGTATTTCAGTGTAATCCTTACAGTAGATGGCGCCTAACCTTTCATCTTTTTTGTGTTTGTCTGTTTGTCATTTTTACTGCAAGAGTTGAAGCTTAATTTGTTTAACTTTTCTTGAAAAAGGCAAAACCCCAACGACATCCACACGCTGGCACAACTCATCTCGGCGTATTCTCTGGTGGACACGGATAAAGCCAAATCGTATCCTTTGGATCTACTGAAATAGAAGACACTAGAGCTGAGATGAGTTTTTAGTAATTGGTAACTGTTGGGGACACAAATGGCAAAACACCCAGCATTCTCTGATTTTAACGTCTCAAATGTGAGGATGTTCTGTGGTAAATCAATATTTTTGGATTAATGTTGAGATAAAACGAGGTATATAAGGACACCACCTTGAACTTAGGGAAAATATAATTAATAATTCCAACTATTTTTCACATTTTATAGACAAAATGATAATTGTTAGTTGTGAAGATACTTGTGAGAATAATCCCTAATGAAAGTAATTGTTAGTTGCAGCCCTGGAAGACCACACCATCGACTCTATTGACTAGTGTGATTATTTAGATAATAACATAGAACACAGTATTGGAGGTCCGTCATTTATTATCCAACCTGAGAAGCCGGAGCTAGACGACCTAAAGGAACATACTCGGATCAGCAGTGCGGTATAAAAGTGCTAAACCATTTAACCAAGTAAAGTCAGTCCTCAACCCGAGAAGTGTCCGTTTGAAATGTAAAGTAGTTTTGTCCTAAGCGTTCCTCTCCAGCCTCAGCAAGCACCTACCGTCTGCAGACACAATGGCCTTAAAGGTGGACGTGGACGAGCTGGAGAACTCCATCGGAGCCACCTACGTCAGGAAAAAAGCTGCTAAAGTCACCGGAGAAAACCTTCCCAAAGAACCGACGTAAACCCTCATTGCTTCTCTTCTTCAGCTTCATGATGTTCACGACATGATCTTATGTGGCGACACTTTCACCCTCTTTATGCTAATACATCTGCATTTTCTCTACAGCCAGCAAGGCGAGATCAAGAAGAAGAAGAAGAAAAAGAGAGGTGTGTTTGTGGGAGGGATTCACTAAATCTTATCGGGATTAAAGTAAAACAAATAATTACTAGTCAAAGTAGGAATTAATATATGTATTAAATTATATAGAAATATTATAAATCATCTTCAACGAGATGCTTTCAACATGTTATGTAATGCAGAGACCACAGACCCATCTCCTCACGTAATGCTCCTGATGTTTATTCTTTTTACTTCATTATTTTTTTAGGCAAGCTGCCCAAGAACTGTGACCCCAAAGCGACCCCTGACCTGGAGAGGTGGCTGCCCATGAAGGAGCGCACGTACTACAGAGGCAAGAAGAAGGGGAAGAAGAAGGAGCAGGTCGGGAAAGGCACGCAGGGAGCGACGGCAGGAGCGTCGGCCGAGCTGTGAGTAAAGAGTCGCATGCATGCGTACGCACGTCGTCTGCGATGGGGAGTTGTCCGGGTGCAGTTTCCTGTAATTGAAACCTAGTAATCAACTCCGCTAATGGAGGAAAAGCAGCAGAGATTTCACCTTTTTGTTTCCCTGCCAATGGATCCTCAGTGGAGATGTCCAGCGGCTGTGCAGAAGAAACAGCTTGTGTATTTTAGGTGTAAAATGTTCCCAGAATGATGAAATATTTGTCTGTTCCAGGGATGCCAGTAAGACGGCCAGCAGCCCCCCTACCTCCCCCAGACCAGGGTCTGCATCGGGTTCCTCTACGGCCCCCGCCAGCAACGTGGTCCCCCCGCGACAGCAGAAGCCTGCAGCCCCGGGGGCCACGCGCAAGAAGGCACCACAGAAGAAGAAGAAGGGAGGCAAAGGAGGCTGGTAGTCGGAGGGAAGCGACACACGAGACAGAAGGGCCCCGAGATACGCTGACGTCTCGCCAACAAATCATGAGCTTTTCTATTTTTATTTTTGTTTAGTTACATTTTACTTTGGTCCCGAATATTCATTTAAATACGTGAAACCAAAAACTCCCCTCTGCTCTTCTGTCATTGATTTGTGTTAAAAGTACAGAAGAGGGTATTTAAAGGACAGGTACACCCAAATTAACTTTTTGTTGCTCTGCAAATGCGTTTCTGTTTTTACTTTTGACCTTCTCAGGCCACGGTGAAATAAAATAACTGCAGATATTTCCACTTATTATTTTGTTCATTAAAGGTCAGATGAACGGAAAAAAGGCCTTTTCTGTTTTCTTTCCTGTTACCCGGTGCTGTAAATGTCTTTAATAAAATGTGATAATAGATCGTTTGGTTGATCTAACCAACGTCCAGTCAATGAAGTTTTAATTAAATCATTAAAATCATGTCCCTCCTGATTCAAACAACATTTTGTGGGACTTTACATTTTCATTTCGGCGATACATTTAATTTAGGCTCATCCTGGTCATCTTTCATCATATTTTTAATTATGCGTTTAGGAAAACAAACTACTTTTGCAAATTAACTTGAAGCAAAACTTTGGGAGAATGGACTTCAATATGTCTTGAGTCTGAGTATTGGGATATCATACTCGTACGTGTTTCCTTAAATTGTCCTTTTACGTTCAGTCGGCTGCAACGTTAAAGAATATTTATTTGTGTTGGTCTGAATTCAAGACAAATCATTTCAATTCTTGAGTTTAATTCTGTCCGATGCACGTTTGAGGTCCAACAGGTGTCCTTTTGTTAAGTCTTAATAAACTCTTATCAATGACACATGACCCCTGTGCTTCATATAACATTTAACTAGATGGAAACTTCTCCTGAGCTGTTAACATATGTGAAGGTTGCATTAATTAGTTTGTTTATATTTTTGATAGAATTAAATTTCACCCACTTATTTAGGTAAAAGGAGTTTGTTTGGCAAGTAGAGCCACATGGAGGTCACATGGTAGATTGATATAATTTGTTATTTAAAATAAAACTTATTTTATTTTTCTTAAAGAATGTAATCTGAATCTACCTTTCAGAGTAAAAGCAGGTAATTAAAAAACAAATTGTCATGGACCAGCTCAAGTTGAGCACTGACAAGCTGGTGTCTGGAAACTGCTTCATGCTACATTTAAATATATTACAATAAAGTCACAGCAATGTTTATCTTCTAAAACTTTTAACAATTAATGAGGTTGGTCTAATTTAATGTGGGTGAATAATGTGATGAGACAGAAATAAAACGTATTTCTGATTATCTTTAAATCTTTTTTATATCCTTAACCTCTGTATACTAATATGAGAAGAGGGAGTCCCCCACTATCTTTGGTAGAGTATATTAAAAGAGGTGAGGTGAGGGAGGGTGAATGGTAACATACAGGTTATGTAGTTAACTTTAGGGATAATTATCATTAAATTAACCCTAACCAACAGAAGTATTTTCAATGCATTACAATATATACAATGCTTCATTCCCCTACTTGTCTGGTAGTCTATACATTTATTACACAGGTGTTATGTCGAAGTCCGTTCCCATGTTGAATAGTGTTTTCCTCCTGTTTAGGAAACACGTGTCAACATATTAAACCAGATGGTTATGGTGCATTCAGGTTCTCCGCGGATGTTCCCCTATTCACGAGCTTGGGACGTCGTTATTCTGACTTCGGTGTGTTCATAAGCTTTAAAGTGGAACCATGGACGTTAATAGCTGTTTATAGTATTTAAAAAAAAAGAAGTATATATAAAATATAGCTTTACCTGACGTGATATCTGGGTACTCAATCGGGAGGTAATTGTTCCAACACTACTTGAACGCACCCCTTAATTGACTCCTTTCATTTTGCCAATCACGAGTCTCACCTGTCTCGAGTCCGTTCAGAGCCTCCTTCCGTCTTTCTGAGGAGCAGCTCGAGGGAGTTTCAGTGTTGACTGAAGTTGTTGTTTTTGGGATCACGATGCCTCGTGCGCAGTTGACTTACTCTGCCGTCTTCGACCGTCCCCTGACGGAAGATGTGGAGGAACTACTGGCTCGTTTCCAGCAGACCGACTCCATCAGGTTCGAGGACTTCTCATCCATCTGGAGGGAGATGAGCTTCTCGGATGTGTTCAGGGGCATCCTGAGCGTGGGAGAAATGAAGAGGTTCTGCAGAGTGGCGCTGGCCACAGCCGTGAAGTTCTTCATGCCTCCGTACAGCTACCAGATCCGAGTGGGAGGCTTGTATTTGATGTTTGGTTTGTACCACACGCAACTTGCCAGTCCGCATGTGAAGATCAGACTGGCTCTGAGGGACTGGGCTGTAGTCCAAAAGTTCCTCAAGGACTCTGCGGATTCTGGGCACCAAGATGTTTTCTACATTTTCCAAAAGCTCGTTGCCACCAAAGCCATCCACTACGTCGCCATGCCACACTTCCTCAGCTTCCAGAAGCAGATGAAACCGAAGAGGGAGAACGTGTGCGCCGGGTTTCTCGGGAGGACCACGGCCGTCCAAGAGCTCTCCTCCGCAGACGTCCTGGAGGAGATGACCAACATCCAGAGCCAGTATGAGGAGCTGAAGGAGGCCACGGTGGAGGTCAGCCGCGAGGTGACCATGACCCATCGGGACTTATCCGCCCGCCTGAAAGACTGCATGTCGGAGTTCATCGCTTGGCAGCAGAGGACCTTCTCACAGGATAACAAGAACTCTGACGACAACGAGGAGGACCCGACCGAGGGGGAGTGCAGCAGCAGCAGGGCCCGGCTCCTGTCCTCCATCAAGCAGAAGAGCTACAGCAACTTCCAGGAGGCGTCCAAGTCCAGGAGGCATCGACAGGCCAGGACGGCGGAGTCCTCCAGCTCCGGGGCCGAGCGGGTCCAGGAGGCCTCGACTCTGCAGAGGAGGAGGCCTCCGTCGCTGAGGGCTCGGACCCGCAAGAGTCTCGGGGTGACGCGGGAGGAGTGCAAGCTCCAGGCCTGGCTCCTGAGTGTTCCTGAGAAGCAGGAGAGGTCGCCGGTGGGGAGGTACAACTAGACGGGAGCTTCTGTCAACCCGTGATGGGAAGAGAGGACTTCAAGACACACAAAGAAGTTTGTTTTTCTTTTTTGTGCTCCTCCAGGTTCAATGAAAACCTTTACGTTTGATTAACACTTTGTTCTGTTGGTTTTCTCTCATCGTGCATCAGTTGTTTGACTGGAATCCTTTAATTTGTTAATAAATGTATTTTATAATTTACTCTCCTTTCTTGTTTTCACTCCTGCTTCTTTAAAAGTCTGTTGTCATGTGACTCAGATGGTATTTACAGAGATCCATCCTTTGCACTGCAAACATCAACCGACACCATTGTTTTTTTACCATATTTATGATTTACTTGCTGTGTTAAATCATCGATGTACAGTTTTAGAAACAAGTTGTGTGGAAAAAAACATGAAAATCCAGAGTATTTCTACTTATACTTGAGTAAAACATCTAAGTACTTCTTCCATTACTGGTTGTCAGTTTTTTTTTTTAGGAAGTATTCACAAGACGATCAAAAATTACAGTATCATCAGCTAAATGTAATTGAAGCATCAAAAGTACTCTGTCAAAGAAGGGCTTATTTGATGGTGTTTTATTATATGCATCATTGGCCTATACATGACTTGAGTCTGCAAACCTCATTTTATTAAAATGTGTTCGTTTGAAAATGCTTTAAACGAAGAAGAGTGAGTGAAAAATATTAAAATAGTTCATTATATACTTGAAATAACTTAAATTTGGTCTCTTTTTTTAAATTAATTTATTTTTTTTAAACAAACTAAGGATTAGGTTAGGACTGTTGGTCAATGAGATGATTTTTGCACTGAAAAATGCGTCATACTTTAAAAAATGTCGTGTTTTGGAAATAAAATCTTAGTATGCAAAATAACTTGTAACTTCAGGTGTCAAAAAAAAAATGAAATACTCGTAATACCTCAATATTTTAGGCTACTTAAGCAGTGATTGTGTAAATGTACTTAGTCACTTGGTTATAATTGCTTTATTCGTCCTTTTTGGTATAAATAAGCCAAGAGTTTACATTTTGTAACACTGTATCTGGAAAACATTGTCGGAGCAATGGCGCCCTCAAGCGGCGAGATTGTAACACTGCATCAACAAAACACAGCGGTGCACATCTTCCCGGAAGTCGCGTTTGAAGGAGTTCCTGCTCAGCTTCCTGTCCGTTGGTTAATCCACTTGTTGAGGAGCAGAGGACGAAGAGGCGGACACAACAAAAAAAGCTTCACTGAAAGTTCAACAATGGCGGAAAAGGACGGATAAAAAGCGGCGGTTTGAGCACCATGTTCGGTCTGAGAGAAGCCGGAGTCCTCGGCGCCTCCGTGGCTCTCGCGGGTGGAGTCGCCTATTTTATCTGGAACTACTCGTCGTCCTCCTCCGGGGAGAAGAAGCCTCAAACACGGCCGAGAAAAGAGGGTAAAAGGGCCGGAGAGGCAAAGGAAGAGGAGAGAGGAGGAGAAGCTCCAAATGAACCAACGGTTGCTGCTGAACCCAAGACAACATCGGAGGTAAAACACGGTGACACACCTTCCGGTAAAACCTGTTGGTGTAGCAAAAATTACTTTAAAGATTACATTTTTATATATCTGACATCTAGCTGTTCTTACATGGACACAGGCAAGATAGAACTGAGCACATTTGACTGCTTTTCACTTAAATAAAGGGTTAGTTTTACTACGAAAACTTGAGGTAAAACAGACCAGAAAACAGCAGCTGTGGAATATTTTAGGTTTCCTTTTAAAACATCCAGAGTTTATAAACTACTACAACCAGCTAGATACCTTTTATATTGTTTGGGATACAACAGTAACAGTTAAAGTCAAGTTATCTGGGGAGTTGCTGTGAATTCTGGGAAATGTAGGATCACACTAACAAAACAATTAGTGAAATTACTTTTTAGAGCGACAGAAAGTTAATCAGCATTTTTTGTTTAAATCAGTTAAAACTTTGAATTAATTTGCACAAGTTCATGGCTCTTAAATGTGAATAGTATTATTAGTTTTCTAATGACTTGTCTTCTGGGAGATTGTGACATTTATGACCATTTTATAGACCAAAATACCCCAAACATCAAAGAAAGCAAACGATTGTTTATCGATCATGAAGATAAAAGGGGTTTTGTAGAAATGCATGACGGTGTATCTTTATGGTATCCGTACATAAACTCATGTATCAAACACTTCATCTGACGCGCTCTGCTCTCTGTGTGTGCTGCAGTCTAAGCCCGTGGAGTCCACAGGGACCCAGGTGCTGGTTCTGGGTCTGAATGGATCCGGGAAGACCAGCCTGCTGAACTGTTTGTCCACCGGGTGTCTAGAGCAGGACACACAGCCTACGAATGGCTTCAACGCCGTCTCCATCCACAGGGAGGACCTGCACATTGAGTTCCTAGAGAGTAAGTCTGATTTCAAAAGAGACACTTTAAGTCGGTGTTGAGTTGGTAGTCACAGTCGCCTGTCTGTCTGTCAGTTGGAGGTAAAGAGGAGCTCCGGCCGTACTGGGAGAAGTACATGTCCAGGGCGCTGCTGCTGGTGTTCGTGGTCGACTCCTCCGACCCGAAGCTCTTCCCCGTCGCTAAGAAGCATTTACATGAGCTGCTGGCCTCCGAGCCCCGCCTGCCTCTGATGGTGCTGGCCAACAAACAGGTGAGCATGACAGGAAACACAACACACTCCATGCTGCTTCCAACAGAAGCCTGTGACAGTTTCATTAGAGACTCAATGTTCACATCGACCGCAACAAACGATTATTTTCAATATCGATTAATGTACCGATTATTATATACATACATACATACAGTGTGTGTGTTTTATATAT